TTCGTTTCCGCGGGGTAGCGTGAACGGCGCCGCGACACCCGGTGCCGGAAGTAGCAGCGGCGGCGGCGGCGGTGGCGGCGGCGGTGGCGTCGGTGGCGTCGTTGGAATTATTCCTCATATGAATTCTCAGCCGCCGTTAGGCACCACCGAGCTCGGCGTGTCCGTGGGCAATGTAGTTGCGGGAGCGGGCGCGGGTGGATCCTCCGGCGGCCAGGCCGGCGATCGGGGCAGCTGCAGCGCTGACAGCGGCGTGCGTGGATCGAGCGATCGCGAGAGCGGCGGCGCGACCAGCGTCGGCGGAAATCTCTCGGACTCCACGACGGACGGTAAGCGTCGCTCTGACAGCGATTAAAAATTTTTTTGTTTCTTTCAGCGGTTGTTAATTGTAAGGGTAACAAAAACCTAGCTGGTCTCTCCCAATGATTGGCATTTATTGATTTTTTTCTAATTTTTAACACGTTTGTTTATAGTTACTTTTTATCTGATATTTTATATTTTTCGTGCAAATGTCTAACAACTATTGAACGTTCAACGTTTAGTCTTTTTATGCAACCTCTTCAGTTTTGCGTGGGTCCGCTTTAAACAATAGCAACTCAATTGGTTGGTCGTTAATTGCAGAAGAATGCACCGCAAAATTCATCTTCAAGACTCTCTCGTCTTTGTTATGAAATTTCTGGAACTAATGTTGCTTTTAAAGTGCCGATCATTGAGTATTTTACTTACCGAGCGAAGTGAAGATTACACTTAGACTATTGAATAACTAAAAAGAGAGAATAATTTGCGCGAAATCAAATTTAAGCGAAAAATCGTAAAGCATCCCTGTGTAATTGTTTAAATATTGCGTTCAGATGCGGATTGTACATATGTAATATCAAAGAAATTACACGAAGCGAAACGTATGTGCTTAAGTTTGTGCGACATATAATCGTCTTAAACAAAAACAGTTTAATATCATATATAAATAGATAATATCTACAGAGTGTCTAAAAAATTCTGACACAGCCGAAGTACGTGAAGATAGATTCGGTCAGTCTCAACAGAAAAGTTATTTTTTTTTTTTTTTTGCACAATTCGCAATATTTATTGAATTATTAATTAATTAAAATGTGAACCGGTTTGCGCGCGGAAAGCGACGATCCGGACTCCGTTCAGGCAGGTGTGATTTTCAGTTTTAAAGAAAAAAAAACTAGCTTATCTCACGCAATAGATAAATTTCTCCTAGCAACACACGAGAAGCGGAGCAAACAAGCGAGCAATTTGTGACACAGCTTCTTGATTGCAACTTGATTGTCACAAATGAAAATTATACACGCCCACAGAATCCGGACTGTCGCTTCCCACGCGCTCATTGGGGCTCACATTTGTTAATTGTACTCAACAAATATTGATCACATTAATTAAATTTATATTCAATAAGTATTGCGAGGTTTGCAAAATGACTTTTCTGTCGAGATCGATCCCAATCTATGATTTATACACTTTGGGCTGTGTAAAAATGTTTCAAACATCCTGTATAATATCGTAGGTTGTAATAAGAGTAGTGACGTAACAATAGCGACAATAGACTTTTCGCGTCATTAAGCGATGTGACGAGGAAAGAACATTTTTGGAGGTGTGTGTATCGAGCTCTACTATTAATCACAATCGGAGTGACACCCGCTTAGGAGATAATGACTCTGGCGTTTAGGTGCAACGAGGCCTCAAGATTAATCGCCCAGTTAGAAGGGATTGCAGTGCACATCCGGCTAAGTACCGGTTTGAAAAATAGTCGAGCGGCGCTCGGCCGTCAGACCGCGTATGTTAATCGAACGTAGGTAGTGGCGGTCTAATCGAGCACGCTTCCTTCATGTATTATTCAGCCAATCGCCGTGCCGTTGCATCAAAACGGTTTGATCGATTGGATTCCGGCAAACAGTCGCGGTTACTAGAGTGCGCGCGGGATTGGAGCTCGATGCGCATGCATGATTTCGCGATGGGACGATGGGATGCGTAGAAACGCTCACCGTTTCAAAGACTCATCTCTTATCAGTCTTACATCAAAAGTTTTTAACACGTTAAAGATTTACTTAGGATATATTTTTTTTTTTTATTGTTTTATTTATCGATGACGTACTTTTTTTCTACTGAACGCTTTTTTGAAATAACAAGCTTGGTATTATGCGTAACACATAAATAAATTCGCACACACATTAATAATTAATTATTGTTATTAATGTTGTTATCTAAATAAAGAATGTTAAATAGATCACGCATAATTGACAGCGGATAAATAAATAAAATTGTATAATTCGTCGAAAGCGACAATATATATATAAGAATTTGTCTCTCGGCCAATAATATCGAAGGAATTTAAAAGTTAATTACGGCCAATTCGACATAATGTCGTGTGCGCGCACGCGAGAAGTTATCAATTAAAACTTTCTCTATTAGCCAGACAGAAATTTTCGCTAATGGCCGCGTCCATTATCTCCTCGTGCAAAAAGTCAAGCGTCTAGTTACTTTGCACTTTCCAACGTCGCGACGTGTTCGTCTCGTCTCTCTTTGTCCCACTTTCAACGGCGAGCTCGCGTTATCTCCGTTATCGCCGTAAGGGCGCAGCGACATAAAGAACACAAGCGCGACCTACCTCGAGGGAAGCTCGTTCTTGACAGCAGCTTGACGGGCTGAAGGAGGCTCGTGTCGTGGGTCACCCACCGACAACACTTTTCTCCCCCGCACTTCTCTTCCCCTTCACTGAGAAATTGATGTCCTTTATATATTTCCGCGCAGGCACGCCGACAATTACGGTCGAGGGCAGCGGTCTCGACATGGACAGCATCTCCGTGGTATCCTCCGTAGCACCACCCCACATATACCAATGTAAGTGTCCAAGAGCATAAATCACTGATCGTCGTCACTACCCTTGTTACTCTCGGCGCTCTCTTCCGTCTCTCCCGTCGTCGTCGGACGACTCCGCTGCTTCTGTACGTGTGTGTGTGTGTGTGTGTGTGCGCGCGCGCGCGCGCATGTGTGTTTTTCTCTTTTTCTCTTTCGCAAGCAATCGCAAGGTGACCGGTTTGAATCGTTAACGATAAATGATCGATCACGAAACAAGCAGATGAATAACTTTTGCACATTTGTTTGACGACACGCAGATTTGTCGCGCGTTAAAATATTTCTGCGCGATCTGGTTTTGTTTTAATATAAATCTTGCGCAATCGGTATTTCTTCTTTGCAAATCAAATTCAATTTCTCTGTAATTATGAAAACCGGCACATAATCACTGGTCGTATTCTGGTCACCCTGCAGCTATTTGTTTCTGTGGTGTGTCTGTGTGTGTATCGACGTGTGTGTATCGGCGTGCATCTCTATATGGTGAACCGACGGTCCCCGAATGGGATCTAAGATTCACTCGTCGAATAAATCATCGTTTTTCTCGCTACGTAAAAAAGTTTAACCAGTGCCGAGAGTCCCCAAGGATGTGTCCTCGATACAAGTCCTGCCTGCTACATGGCCCGAATGCATGCGCATGCACGTAAACCCTCTGACAGATGACAAGAACGAGCTATGCCCACGAAAAGGACTTTTTGCACGCGAGCAGAGGATCGCCGCACGACGCGCTGTGTGTTCTTTATGTGACTTGAATCGATTGCCTCTCGCTGTGTCATCATTAAAAACAGGATAATAATTTCGAAACTAACGAGTTTTGTCGCGATCGCGTTGGAAACTACTTTTCACACGAAGTAACGATATTTCATAAGCAACATTAATTAAAAGCAAGATAATTAAAAGCTTGTCGATGATGATTCACTTTTTACTTCTACTCTATCTTGATAACGTCTCAATTACATCTAACACATTGACGTTATATTTCTTTCTTATGCATTTTTTTTTAATGCGATAAAATATCTTTTTCTAAATAGTATATTAACAAGAGCGGCGCATACAAAAAAACATCACGCAAACAATTCAAATAATTCTTCAAATTTATATATTTATGAGACAAGCAGGGCTTTTTATTAAATTCCCTCTGCATATCTCGTTACATTCCCCCTCCCCCCTTTCCCCGCGATTCTATTTCTATCATTCCGTTTCTGTTCCGTGAGCTCGGTCGGAAAATCCGAGGATACGTCGTGTGGAGCGACGTGTGATGCTCAATCGAGCGATCTCTTCTATTTCCAGCCGCGACCACACCGAAAGATTGCAGCCCCACGCTATCGCCGCTGAACGCATTCTCAAGGTCCATGGACAATTCCTCGCTATCGCGATCGGTCGAGCAACTATCCAGCCCGTTGGAATCCGAGCCGAGAAGGAACAAGCAGCCGCCACCTGTCGTCGCACCTGCCGCGCATTCGCGATCGTCCGCCACTCGCGGCGGCACATGGGGATCCATTTCAAGGTAAGAAGATCGCTATTCGTGAAAACGTTTATATTTTACATTTGCGCGCAAAATCGCAATTGATTTGGGCAAAATAATTCGCTTCAAGAAAATAACTACATAAATCCAATTACGTTGTTTACGTAATTATTTTTCGACTTTTCTTATTGTGACACGTTAATTGCGCGTTAATTGCGTAAAACATCAATTAGTTAGTTAATTATGCAGCTCGTTTCTCGTAAATAAGCCGTGTTGTGTCATTATCGGAAATAATAATACGAGTAATTACAAGTGAAACGGTTTTTCGATCAATTAAAAAGCGATGTTAAGAAAAAATGGGCGAGTGCGCAACAGTTTTGATGGATTTTGTGATAGAAAAATGGACCAAGTGATTTTTGTACTACTATTTATTTATTCTACAACGATAAATAATAGAAAACAATGTGGATTACTTGGTAGAGCGAGCAAATCGGTTTTTTTTTTTTACATATAAAATTACTTGATCCATTTTTTTTTTTTTTTTCTATCACGAAATCCATCGAAACTTTTGCACTTACCCATATGTAACGAGCCATATGGAAAATGCCGGTATATGATGCGATATTATTTTCACCGGCGAATGAAATTTTTGCGAGCGCACGGATGTGTCCATTGATTTTTCAATCTCGCGCGCTCACACGCGTACAACAGCTTGTACAACACTCGTTTTTGTACCTTGATGACTCTTAGTCTTAGTTCAACAGAGAGAATGTGTCGTCATTACCGAGTCTTACTCTCCTAGCAACGTACGAACTGCGAGTAGCGAAATGAGTTCGTAACGCGATAAAAGGAAGATTGCAACTTCGCAACATTGTCGATCGTATAGAAACAGTATAAAGTGATATTTAGATACGATGTAAAAAAAATATAAAACTTTATGAAGAGAATTTGTCTCACGTGGAAAATATAGCAGAGTTCTTTGAAACAGAACCGTTCGGAGATAGGTACAGGAGAAACATCTCGACTTTTCAATCACATTTATTTCGAGATACCGTCGGTGAGACTCTTCGTGTCTCGCTCGTAATGTGATTTTTTATTCTAAAATGACGGATGATATACGGACCTGTCTCTTTAGGTGTTAGGAACAAGGTGTTGAAATTCTCCATGAACTTCCATTATCTCATCGACCGACAACGCGAACATTAGAGATTATCTCTCTAACAGCTGTGTTCGAATTTTGCCCGAAAGATTCGTCAGATTTATAACAAAAAAAAAAAAAAAAGGAATATAATTATCGAAAGTCTTGAACCGTTTCTGTACTACATGTGATAAGAAATGCGAAGTAAAATGCGTGTCGAGGTTTTTTTGTCTACTTGTTACTCGAGTTTCTATTGGTTTTTACATAGTCAAGCTTATTGATAGACTGCAGTCCTTCACCTATAAAGAATTACTTTATTTCCGAAGGAAATAACGTAATTAAAAACATAATAGTGTATCGACTATTATGAAGCATTTCTTATTCATTTATTCTTTCGTTGTGTGTGTATGTGCAAGAGAGAGAAAAAAAAGAAATTTGTTTAATGGAAGATTTAACAAATTCAAAGTATTACCGATCATATATATTATATTATTTGAAATTACTCGTGATGTTATTTTACTCTAATCCGATTATATTATAAATAAATTCGATTATATTATAATAAGTAACTTTAATGTTTCTTTCCGCTTTTTGATTATTTTATTATATTTTTGACGTATCACGATTTTTAAAAAATTATGATGTATTGTCAATGTGATAAAATTTTTACAAACTTTTTTATAAAAATGTAAAAAAAAAGTTTGCGTAAAGTAAATTATATGTCCATTCTCTTTATGTGTGACGAAAAATTACTGTATGCGTAGCGATAACTCTGTGGTAACATATAAAAATATATGTTTCATTTTTTAAATGTCTCTTGTTATATCGACATATGAATGGATCAGCGTTCTCACTTTCGGTAGAGTGTTCGCCCGTTCGCGACATCGGAAGACAGCAAACAGCTCCAGCGGTGGAGGCGGCGGCAATGAGGGCTCGGACGGCTTTGATCCATATCGATCCTGGTCGCCACTCACCGAGGAGGGTTATGCCGAGAAACTTCGTTTGCTCAGAGAAGCGGCCTCCGTGCCAATGGAGCGATGGCGAGCACCGACCGTTTTAGCCTGGTTAGAGGTGGCTCTCGGAATGCCGCAATATGGTCCGCGATGCGCTGAAAATGTCAAATCGGGCAAGGTAAAGGACTTGTCACGTTCGTTCCGCTTTGAGTTAGTTCAACCTGTTGGTTAGATAACTGTTGGTGACAGAGAGAGTTGTGAGAAATTCTTAATAATTCATCTTGTTTCGTAATTTGGCTAAATTATATTTTCGCATGATTAAGAATACGTTTAAAAATGATATTTAATTATATACGAAATAATATATTTAAAATAATATATTTCTATATAAAATAATATATTTAATATGTTTAATATTTATAAATTTAATATTTATAAATATACAGTTAATATTCAAATTTTATATAATAATATTTAATTATGTGAACACTTTTTAACAATTTGATTTGCAATTTGTGTATTTTAGCAAGATCTACAGAATTGTGTTTATCTGATCAACCAGAATATATCCAATCGCTTTATCTCATTACTACTTGCAGGTTCTACTTGAGTTGAGCGACGCCGAATTGGAAGCCGGTTTGGGCGTAACTCATCCGCTTCATCGAAAGAAACTGCGTTTAGCTATCGAGGAACATCGTTACCCGAGTCACGTTCGGTATCCGTGTATTGCCCAGCTCGGTCACACTTGGGTGAGTTCCGAGTGGTTGCCAGATCTCGGTCTGGCCCAGTATTCGGAAAGTTTTGCCACCAATATGGTAGACGCGCGCATGTTGGACCATCTGAGCAAGAAGGAGCTTGAGAAACTGCTCGGAGTCACGAGAAAGTTTCACCAGGCCAGCATTGTACACGGTATTCACCTTCTGCGGATGCTGAATTATGATCGACAGGTGAGCGAGTTCGCGCTATCGTATCTTCCGTTGAACAACGGTAGTACAACGGAGATAAAGCCGACCGCTTAACAAGTTTCTCTATGAGAAACTGATTAATTAAACGACGTAATTGCGGCCGACTAATACCGTCAAAGACTCAACGTAATGCTTTTGTGATAGGCGCTCGCTGTCAGGAGACATCAATGCGAACAGATTGACACGGATCCTTTGGTCTGGACGAATCAAAGGTTTATTCGGTGGGCGAGGAATATCGATCTCGCGGAATACGCCGAGAATTTGAAAGGTGAAGTAAAATTCTCTCTCGGGGTGTGCGAATAAGTTCTGAAACATAATTCTCTAAGCTTTTTAAAGCCTTTTCTATAATCGCAATATTTAAATATATATTCTTACACAATTTCTTATATTTGTGCGACTTACAATTTGTTTAACAGATTTATAAACAACACATCCGCAGAAATTAAAGTAACATAAGACACACAAGTTAAAGATAGAGGAGAAGAGGATGGATTTTCACTTTTTCAAAAGAAATTTGATTTTCACAAAACATTAAAATCTCCAACAAAAAATTATTCTTCTTTCCTGCAGATTCGGGTGTACACGGTGCTCTGGTTGTCTTGGAGACGTCGTTCACCGGCGACACCATGGCCACCGCTTTGGGCATACCGCCTGCCAAGCACATGATCAGACGACACCTCACCGCCGAATTAGATGCGCTCGTTATGCCAGCAAGGTACTCAGTCTACAGTCATCCAGAGGCAACACTGGACAACGCTCACTAGTCAACACGACGTCTCGTTGTTCTCGAGACCGACATCTCCGGAACCGTATAATCGACAACTCACAAAATCCGCGTTCGAACGTTCCTCGCGTCGAAGGAGCTTCTTTAAAGCGTTTGCGCAATTTTTATATCAATTTTCCAGTTTTCATCACACAAGTCCATTCAAACATGTAGTCCACTCTCAAATAGGTCTCGTACGTCGATAAAGAACGGACAAGTTTTCTATCTTGTGTCGTTGAGTCGTGCAAACAAAATACGCGTCTTTTAAAACTATAGAGTCTTAACAAACTTTTAATAAATCACTATCGCATGAAGCATCGCTTAATAATCTTCATATTAGAAGAACGTAATTTTCTCTGACGAATATTATATTCACGGTTTTTTATTTTTTATTTTTGGAGAAATTGTAGATCGAAACGGAAAGATGCTCGTTGTTTTAAACGTGGGCAATTCTAATATCCGAAAAAGGCGATAAAAAGAAATGAAGCTTTTTTTTTACGTTCTTTTTGCGCTCTTTCGAGGCAGGAACGTAACGGGGGGGATGAGATCTCTGTCGTTTACCTCTCTCATTCCTCGATCGACTTTGCACTCGTGTGTCGAAGTCGACATACTCTCGAAACAGCAGGTGCACGTTGTAAAGCAACGAACGACACATCACGCCGAACGACACTCACGTTTTTAGTCCATGTGCAACGGCCAAAGTTAACTCGTCGAATCACGTCGTGCTCTATCGCGACTTTTTATTGTCTTTCCAGTTTTTACAGCAATCGGGACGGTAGAGACTTTCGTCTAGTACATCGTGTCAATTAATTTTACTTACATTAGTGCTTCGTGCGCGGACAAACAATCGAGAGTGCTCTCCCTTCTACCCCCCCCCCTTCCGCCATTTCTTCTTCCCTAGTCAAAGAGCGTTTTCGAAAAAAAAAAAAAAAAATACTCGCGCGGAACGTACTCTCGGCGAATTTTGTTGCTGAACGCATCGTGTTACTCCTTCGTCGCGATCGATACTCCCGTTTCGCTGTCGTAAAATAACTCGGAGAAAAAGAGAGAGTTGTATAGTCGCGCCCGGTAAAATCGATAGACAGCTACTTTTCCAGAATTTCTACAAGTAAAGTTAGTTATCGTGTAAGAAGAAACATATCCGTGAACTTCCGCAAACGCTTTCGTATTACCGACGATAATTTAACGTAAGTCGCTAAGAGAAATCTCGAGAGGAAATTGTAAATATATTCCGAGGACCGTCTCTCGCGGAAACGAGGAATGTATGAAGGGAGTGCAATTTTCACTTTTTGGATTTTATGATTCTCTTTGCCGACGACAACGTGCCGCGCGGATAATCAATCAAAAGTTTAAAAAGAAAACCGCGAGACTTACCCGTACTTCTTTCGACTTTTTCACAGTTTCAACAAAAACGTCTCGTTGACATTAAGTAGACGGAAAGTACCGTTGAAAATTACTTTCCTTGATAAATTAACCTTCATCAAGCGATGAAAATTAAGCTGAAACGTGGACTCCCTTGATATGTCGAGCTATAAATAAATAAAGAATATGATAGAAAAAGCGCGTTCGGACGATCTCTTTCCTCGATCGCGATCGATCGTTACCGGACGCGCGCGGCGCGAGCGCCGCACAAAAGGGATAATACTCAGTAGTATTTTAATACACATGCCATACCTGGATATATATGTATACATATATATATATATATATATATATATATATATATATGCGGGCATACACACACGTAAATACAGTACAGTTACAGTCGACATATAATGTACATATACAAACATACGCGATTAACCACCCAGTGGAACGTGCCGGAGTACTCGGCACAGGTCGCAGCGCGCGATTCGCTGGGTCTGCAGTCCACTCGATCGCGGATTCACCGGTAATGTTTCTCATAGCTGAGCCGTAGCCCACAGCTGCCGCCTGCACTGCACTGCGCTATGTACAGCACATGTTAATCTTAGTGATCGTGGTGTAATCCTTGGTCAGACATACTAATCATTCCGTCCCCCCTCTTCTCTCCCCCGTTATCATCCCCTCCTTCCTTAAATTCTAAATCCTTCGAAAGACGCAGAAAGAGCTTTTCGTCACGTAATGATTCCGCCTCTCGGCGAAATTCTCAACCACGCTCTCTTGGCCAACACTTTAATATCACATTACGCAAATTGTTGTCGACAACAACAATAATATTAACGACAATGTGTTAGCGTTGCTTTTACCCTCGTTATCTCGCGGACGAGATACTTCTCCCGGACGTTTCTCTGGCCAGGAATCACACCACAGTTGCATTATGATTCCTTTTCTCTTTTTTACTGATTTGCCAATTTTGATATTTACATATCTTTGACTGTTCGATGTTTACTCTCGTTGATTGGTTAGCGTGGCTAGAGAATGCGCCTCGGTCGATCCTCCTCAAATTGAGAATCGGCCCTGGTGTAATTGGTACAGCCCAGTAAAACATACGTTACTCTATATCGGTGGTGCACAAAATGCTTGTGTATGTATATTTATGTTGTAACTAGATATTCATTATGAAATATATATATTTATATATATAGATCTCATTATTTATATCGTCGGGCACCTGCAGCGAGCCACTACCAATATTTGTTGACCGAAGTACGAGGAGCGAAGTAACGCGTAACAAAAGATCGGAAAAGATTTTGCTCACAAATAAAAATCTCAAAATAATCAAGTATAATAAAAAATATATACATATAAAATATATATAATAAAAAATATATATATATATATATTGAACATTATTAGATCCTGAAATAAGCGATTTTTGCTATACGCGTGTAAGGATTGAGTACAAATTTATAAAAGAAAAATTAAGAGAAAACATTTTAGAGAGCGGTTCGCTGTAGTGCGCACGTGTGTGTGTGTCCGTGGTCGAGGTATGTGCATAACAGGCGTTTGAGGACGCGTGTACGCAAGAAGGCGTGCATGAAAAGGACGGTGTGCGTGTGTGTGTAGAAGTCAGCTGGAGGTGGTCCCGAGGAACAGCAGCGCCGGGGCTGGCCGTCCGATGAGCACAGCGAGCGCGGGTGGTAGTCTCGGTCGTGGAAGCAGGGCGCTCCATCTACAGCATCATCAGAGCTCGTTGTCGGCGCTTCACATGACGGCAAATCACACCGGCACCATCGACAGACGCAGATCCAGTCTCAGGGTAACGTACCGTCTAGATTCAACGAGGGTCTGGTCCGCGCACAACCGCGCCAGGCACTCAATGCCGCTCCCCGCCTCGCCTGTGCACTCTTCTTAAACCCTTTCCAGTCCACCAACCAAGTGAAAACGGTATCATTTATATCGGGCTAATCGTTGATCAAGGTAATCGTCTTTGTGTATGAAGCGCGCGAGCGACTCCGCTCAAACTATCTTCTTTTACTTTTCGAGTGAATTTCGTGTGTCTTTACATGCTTATGCTTTTTTATTTATTTATTTATTTTTTCTCATACATGTACAAAATGTTACATATCGATAATTGTATGTAGAAGAGATTGTATTATATATATCTATATATATATATATATATACATATATACATATAAAATATGTATAATACATATATGTTATATATTATATACATATATTATATATAACATGACATATATGTATATAATGTATGTGAAATTAAATTTATATACAATGTAGAGATTAATAACAAAATAATTTATATTACTGGGGACTGGAAAAAGAGATAAGAATAGTGCGAGATACGTCTTCTGGAGAGCTATCTCTTGGCGAGTTGCTTCTTTATAAGCCTATGCTTGTTTTTTTACCATGGTCATTTATGCATCCTAGAGAATTTGATATTTAGAAAATTAAAATATCTGTGTATAACATATATTTTTAAGTTTCTTCTTATTAGGGATTGTATATTAATATTAATGGAGCGAATTTTCTCCTTCCTTTCTCTGAGTCTTTAAAAGAGATCAAAATAGTACGTATACAATTGCTATACTTCTATCACTATATTTTACAAGAAACAACCGTTTCTTTCTTCAAAAAGTTTATTTCTTCTTGACGCATAATAATAATACTAATAATAATAATAATAATAATAATAATAATGTAGTCGGTAAACTGTAATTATAATATAGACTGCATTGATAATCGATTGCATAACACAATTGGAACATGCATTTGCAGATTCATTAAGACTGATTCATTATAGATTTTCACTCCAATTACAATTGCATTGTATGTAAAACCATTCAGTCTCGCCCCAATTTCCGCTCAGTTTCACGCATCTCATCTTTGTGCGGTTATCAAAATCCCTTATTTTTGTTAATCATTGGCACGAATGCATGGCATCGCTTAATTAAGAGCGCTCGCATACCACCCTTTGACAGAATATCGCCCTATGATATCCATTAATTGACCCTCGTCGGGCGAAAATGAAACGTTATTCATATTTAATAGATAGATAACAACGCGAAAATATAAAATTTGAAAATATATAATAACCGATAGAAGATAAATCGCGGAGTGTGAAGTATATGTTTGCACGCAGTAATTACGTTATTATTACAGATATTATTTTTCAACATATCGAATAAATCGTATTTGATTAACGAATTTGTGTGAGATCGCAACATTATATCTTATAAATGGCAAACATAAATAAAGATTGAAATATTATTAACGAACACAAATTTTTTTGTTATTTTATTTTTGCTATATGTATATGAAATTCTAGTTAGTCTAGATAGCTCTTTTAATAAAGTTTTTCGCACGCGACGAGAGTCAATAACAATCAATTTCACGCTGTGAGCTATGAGCTCGACCTAACGTTAATCATTGTCCCTGCATCCCGTGGATCGTCGCAGACCTGCAGTCTTCTTTACTTGAAAAAGGTTCGGTATTTATACTTCTATATATACATATATATATATATATATTATATATATATATACGCATACCCATATCGTTTCTTTCTCTAAAATTCTTTGTACATTTTATTCTACATGCCACAAAACCCCTATATTACGAAGTCTATCGACTCGCGCTGCATCGTCGATTAGTCGCAGCACGTTTTTGCAAGGTCTCCAATAATTAACGCTCTTACCAAGATTAATGCCAATGTGATTCTCGAGAGAGATTTCTAAATTCTATCTCGCACTCTCACAGTAATTTCGATCTGATTAGTACTCTCTCTCTCTCTCTCGAGTTTACGAGAGATTTTGCGAAAAAGTTTTTGCGAGGGCACGTGAATAAGCAATCGATCATTCTAATTGTTAGTTTTTTTTTTGTTTTATAATCCAATTTCTATACTTACGCAATACCTTTTGTAAAGGTATTTTATGTAACATTTGACACTTTGTACATCTAAATTCAAATAATTTATGTACTTAAAACTTGATCGATCGCGCGAATTCATACCCCATATTCTTTCCCAGGAAAGCAACGTAGGAAATCATCGGTGTGGCAAATGTATCGGTATCGCGGAACGACGAAACGTTTTTTTTTTTTTTTTTTCACAAAAGCTTTTTCTCGTTCGATAACAAAAACCTTCGATCTCGGCGAAGCGATAAAAACAAAATGTCGGAAGACGAAACTTTCCGATTGATGTGACTAATTGATCTGTCCGAAACAATGCTTCGCTGAGAACTGAGACTGTCTAAGGGATCTCGCTCTTCGATCGAACAGACCTAAAGAACAGACTTTCGCTCGCACATGCGAGCGAAACAAATCGAACGAAAATTCTGATCGAAATTAACGATAATCGGAAAATTCACATTTTGTCAGTCTGTCGAGCATAACGTACATCGTGCAAATGTCGATCAAGAGATCATCCTTAGAAAGAATCAGCGTTAAAAATCCGCAAAGAGAAAAAGACTGATGGAGTACGAGCCTAAGTCTTGCCAGCCGTATTACCCATAATCATAGAGAATGAAATAGATCGCGAAAACACATCTCCTTCTTGTATATTTAATCATCTACTCTTTCTCTCTCTCTCTCTCTCTCTCTCTCTCTCTCTCTCTCTTTCTTGTATACACTTTTTGTTTTCGTCTCTATAACTCGTAATCAGATTACCAGACAATCTGCCGCATTGAGAAGAGGATATATGGTCGCGCAAAGAGAATAAAAAACAAAACTATTTGTTTATTCTCGCAAAATCTCGGAATCTCACCTTTACGTTAAAAAGCTGAACACGCAACACAAATTATTTATCCTATAAAAGTTGTATTACATGTATAACATTTGTGTGAAACATTATTAGTACTTATTTTTTAAATTAAAAATATAGTAAAATAAAAAATAAAAATAACATGTAATTATGTTTTAAATTAATTCAATTTATCTGTTATCATAAATTATCTGTTATTTTTTGGAATTTGCGTTTTCGGAGCGAACAAATTGAGAGGATGTAACACGTCGGATGGAATATAATTTTCGGAAATCCGTCGATTGTTCTTCGAAGCCGCCGCGGCGATAAACTCGCGCGCATCCCCTTAATCTCGCGGTTATATCCCATTCTCAGTGCTAAGTACGTCGATGTACGTCGCGCTATGTTACACACTGTAAACACTGTATATAGCAAGCATAGACGTTAGCCAAAACACGTGTCCTCCTCATGTATGTAACCAGAGTGTCTCTTAAGATACACCTTTATAGCGAGTAGCGGTTTATTAAATTATGCATTATGCAGCTCGAATTTACGTAGCAGATGTTCGTATTTAAAAAAGCGGGTGTATTACTTATGACTAAACTAGAGGGGCGCGTCGCGACGTCCCGCTCTATCGCCCGTCGTAATCAATTGTGTAAATATAAACTGACGATTTCAATGTGAAAAACACACGTTGTGGATTCTCTCTTAATCGACCTTTATTTTTTCTCGTCTCTTTTGCTAGTTGTCGTGGAGGAGCTCACAGGTATGCGCCATTAATACAAGTCAAGTACGTGCTTATCACCCCCGGTGTAGTAATTTCCTTGTGTAGTTGTTGGTTTCCCGCTCCTCTCCTCCTTGTTCACAGGAGCCTCCGCTGATCGTTGGTGCTTGCTTCGCGGAGTGAAAAAACGAAGTGCCCTTCTCTCTCCCTCTCTCTCTCTCTCTCTCTCTCTCTCTCTCTCTTTGTCGTGCATCCTCTTTATGTGCTTGCATCACTCCACGCAATAAGAATCACTCTGCTATACCCAGCGAATCCTGAATCTCTGTCTCGTACTCGCTAATCCTCTTGTTTTAGCCGAAGATACAGCAAGCGTTACAACGTTACTTAAAGAGAGCGGATATGTGTCAGAGTAAAAAAAAAAAATAAATCTCGTTTTTGTTTTATATTAAATTAAAAACTATATATACTCATTTATATTCCAGAATATCAAAACACAAGTCTGAAGCAAAAGAAAAAATTCACCTGATACTCATATCATTAACGACTACCTACATTTTTGGACACCTTGCACAATGTTTTTTAAAACTCAACTAAACAAGTCCCGGGAGAAGTAGTGAAAATTGTATTTGCGAACTTTTTCCGACTTTGTTCTCTCAAAAAACAACAATTTTGTGTGTTCTTGAATTGGATTTTACTAAAACTTGATCATTTCTCGGATCGCTCGTTTGCTCGTAGCTTCAACCTCTCCAGAAAGTCGAAATCCGTCGCTTGAACCCCGCACGACGACAATTTCTTTTCGAACGAAATTTTTAATCGATCGATTTCTTCACAGGGATCTCTGAGCAGAGCGTTCGGTCTCCGGCCTAGAAGCGAGAAGGCGTCGCCGTCGTCGTCTTCGGACACCGGCAGTCTCGCCAGTCAGTGCCAATATATGAGCAGCAGCGTGCGCAGCAATTCCCCGCCACCGCCGCAACTTCCACCGCGGCCGATGACGACCGGCGGCGGCGGCAAGCGGCACCGTCGCGTGAAGAGCATCGGCGACATCGAGTACATGAGCTCGGCCGCGGTGAGCACTCCCGTCTGACAGGAGGGTAGGCCCCATCATTCGGGGCCTTACCGCAGTCTGAGCGAGCGCGGCTACTCTTCCTCCTCGTACTCGTCGTCTCAGTACGGCTCGTATTCGGGCTACAGCAACGTGCTGACGAATAGCGATCAGTACCAGCCGTATCAGCAACAATCCGGCGGCAGCAACTACTACCAGCAGCTACAGGGTGGCTATTATTCACCGCAGAGCTCGGGACCTCCCTTCCCGGGTGTGCAAAGATACGGCAGTCTGGCCGAGGAGGCGTGGTCGTGTTCCACCAAGGGAGACACCTCAGCACGCATCTCGAAGGACAATCCCAGAACTTATCTGGCTTAGTCAGTCTACGTAACAAGTCGAAGACTTGTTGAGCGGATCTTAATTATGGCGTTCGAGTACACTAGTTTCAATAGAGACAAACATACCTGAAAAAATGTTTGAAATCTTCTTTATGTTTTACCTCCCTCGAATTTTGTCGCACGTGAAAATCACGCGATGCGACGCAAACTGCTTGCGGCGAGAAGAAGAACGAGCGATTTTAAGGCTTGTCTAAATGCGCGGTTTTGAAACATTTAGATGTAAAAAAAAAAAAAAAAAAAAACAGACAAAACAATATAACAGAAGGTGCATAAAAAATTTATAACATCGCGCGCAATCTCGGAAGGATTAGAATCTCGTCGAGCTTTTGATGTTTCACGTTCGAAACTAAGAATGTGAATCGAGAGTGACCTGATCGAATTTTAACAATTAAGTTGATAAAAGAATCGGTGCAATTCCGATGCGTAATAATTATTATACTGTTACAATGTGATGTCCGAGTGATTAATAAACAATTCCGACAACTTACACGACAACTATGATAGACAATACGTTAGTTGAATAGATGATGAAAGTACGAAATAAACATTTCAGACATCCACACGAATTCAGACAGAACAAAAATCCACAGAATCTCTCATTAGACGTGTCTCATTGGATGTCCGTATAGACCCGCGGACGTCTAATGAAAGTCTAATGAGTGATTCTTGATCTCCGCGTGAGAATGTACGCGCGATCATATTTTAAATAATAAAGTTATAACACCCAGGAGCAATTGTACACGTCGATATCAGTTGTCTCTTTCCGAGTTATTCTTGATCACACAAAGTAACTATATCTCGTACAAATGTTAGGCAGCATATCGTGATGTTAAAAAAAAAAAAAAAAGGTATACAAACGAATTTGACCAAATTTTCCGAAACACATCGAGCTACACCGATATACGCCGACGATGTATCTCCCGATGGAAGTATAAAAAAAAAAATAGAGAATAAAAAATATAATTGATCACGAATACAATATAAAAAAAAATATATATATCTATAAAAAAAATATATATATATATATATATAAGCAAATTAATTATATGAAGATTCTTTAGTTCAATCTGTACATGTATATTGCGGAGACAATATTCGACAAACGTCCGCCGCGGAACGCGATGTTTCGTTTATACTATTTTGTTGCAAACACGCGGCGGCGCTACACACAACATCCTATCGAAATATATTATAAATCACTTTGTATCGTAAAGTCACTCTTATTCGTAAGTATAAGCACGCGAAGAAAATCGTATCGTAAGAGCATTGCTGGAAAATATTTTCGCTTATAAATCGATCTTATGAACGAATGACTGATTAACGCAATTTTATCTATACGAGACAGAGAGAAAGAGAGAGAGAGAGAGAGAATATCAGTCAGTTTTTAGTCGATTCGCAGACTAAATTGTTTAACGTGACACATCAGCTGGCTGAAAATGATCACAACGACACCAACTAACAACACACATACATTCAGCGTCCTAACGCGCGTATGCACACGCGTATATAACACATACATATGCGTTATTATTTTCTATCAATATGTGCGTGGAGTTTCCTATGACCACACTTAAATGGAAACTTTATATAATAAGCTTGAAAAAAAAAAAAAAAAAGCGACACATTTACTTGTCAAACTAAGTGTGTTAGAAAGATACTCGTACCGTGAAAAAATTAAAACAACAGAGTCCTCGAAGACACTCAGTCTTCCATATTATATTTCGCAGCTTGGTGAAATTATCAAGTGTTGTACACATTCCATTTGTTGTTGTCTTAGACATTTTTTTCCTGAGATAAGCTGGAACATAACACTTTTCCGTCACTTTATTAAAGGCAAATAAAACAATTTGTTTGCAGTAAAATTTAATTTTCTATCACATTGTCACGCAAAGACACACCCCAAGTATCTCTAAGCTGCGATCTATGAAATCTTTAAACAGGATTGTTCTCTAAATATTTAATTGTGAATAAGTTTTTATTGTGCATTTATGATATAATTAATTATATGCGACCGTTGTATATTTCGACTAAAAAAAAAAAAAAAAGAAAAAAGAAACATATTTATGAACAAAACGAGTCGTATGCCAACTTGATATAAACGCTAAAGAGAAAGATCCGAGTGTACATTTTGACTTGATATTGCGCGAAGCGTGCAATTGACTCGTATCAACTATATTAATACGTACAATCTACCCTCTGGTGTTCGCATATTATGCTCCTACGGTCGCAAAAGAAACCGACACGATATTTTACAGAAATACGTATATTTAACGTGATATTTATTCGTAGATTGTAATTGTTTCTTAAATATTTATATTTATATATGCGCTCGCGGCCCCGCGTTTGATTGTCAACAAAAAAATTGTTTGATCCTACACCGAAAAGAAATGAGACACACATAGGACCATACAATACAATAATAATATATTTTAACGCTGGACTGGTATTATCGTTGTTTCGCGCGAGACGGAAACGGCGAATTAATACGCTAGCTATTTTGTGACATGTACCTAAGTAATTTATTTATATAAATTAGTTTAGGTTTTTTTAATTTATATATATTATACATATATATATATATATATATACATATATATATATATATATATTTGTATACATTATTATACAGCGTGGCCAATTTTTTTGCTTGAGCGCGACAGATCCAAGCGTTCGCTTGTGTATATTGGTGTAAAATGGCGCGCGATCACAGATTTCAATACAAACAACGTTGTAAATGTGCTCAGTGACGTCTGTATATATTTGTGTGTGACCTGTATCTAAATATTTGGAAAAAGATTAAATAAACACTTGCCTTTACTTTTGCGCGTTGAATTTTCCTGATAAACAATTTTTTTTCATTTTTTTTTTTTTTTTATTTCCGTCAGGAAAGCACGCCGTTGTTGGAGCATGCATATTCGAGAACGTCGACAATCGGACAGATGACGAGCTTCACCCGTAGACGATAAATACGTGCAATGATGAAGAAGAAAAAAATCATCAGGAACGTGTTCATTGCACGTCCTTAAATTTTTCACTGATTTCTTTGTATTTAAGGCCGGTGCTAAATGCTACTCTTAGTTTCGTGTTCTTCGAACTCGAAGAGAGAAAGAGTTTAGATTTCATCACGGAATTCTGATCAACGCGACAAAGATGAAAAAGAATTTTTGATCAACTCGATTGATTCATCTGGTGATTTTTTAAGCAAATGTGTCGATTTTTTAAGCAAAGTCTTCTCAGTCGCTCTTCGTGTTACCGATGGAACTCTCGTAGTAAAAGATTATATCCGATGTACGTGTACAGGACCAAAACTTGTATTGCGTCAGGCTGTTGCTGAACACACAAAGCCTGTTTTATTTATGAACAAAATGCACCGCGCGCTTTTGGAACTCCAGCTCGATAGCGAAGATCTTTACTACAAAACTTTCCAACGTATTGTTGAAAATATTAACGTTATTGTTGCGTCTCTGATGATGACGAGTTTATAGAGGAAATAGAGTGGATCTTAGCAAAAACTCTCTGCAGGTTTCGGCTCTGGCTTTCACGACCAAGTGTTTTACTTTGAAATTTTATTCTGAAGTGTACGTCGAAGAGTTCAAGATCGATGTGGTGAAAATGCATGTATAATTTTTAGTACAATAATTGTTCTTTCATTTTCTAACTTATCACCATTTATATACTTTTGTTAAATAATACACAAAGTATACACACATAAAAATATAAATAATAATATACAGTCGAACCTCGATAACTCGAATCTTAAGAGAAGAGCTAAAATCTTCGAGTTGTAGAGGTTTCGATTATTTATCGAAGCATTTTTTTCTTTTCCGCGGAGCAGAAGTGAATAAAATTTTTGTCTTCCAGAGGTTTTCGAGTTACCGGAGTTTGACTGTATATAAATTAAAATAATAATCTATACCGGCTCACAGTGGTCTCGCGGCCTGAGTGTAGGGGCTGCGAACCCGGAGGTCCCGAGTTCGAAACCACACCGTCGGATTTTTCCGGACTTTTTTAGCGATTTTATCGTTTTGTTCTCCCGCAGCTCTATTTTCCTATTTACTGTTTTTGAACTTGCATCTGAAACATGAAGTATGTTCTGTGTGTGTGTGTGTGTGTGTGTGTGTGTGTGTGTGTGTGTGTGTGTGTGTGTGTGTGTGTGTGTGTGTGTGTGT